AGGTGAAGTCATTCTCGCTACAGCTCTAGTTCGTTTATGTAACACTGCGGGAAGCTCTCTCATCGCACGTGTGTTGTTGGACTCAGGTTCTCAGCTCCATTTTGTCACCGAAAGAATTGCACAGCATCTTCGGTTACCGCGCAAAAAGCGCAGCATAGAGGTAACGGGCATTGGATCTACAACAACGAAAACGCAGCAAGTATGCTGTGTTGTACTAAAATCGCGCCATACAGCATTTTCGTCGACTTTGGAAGCGGTCAACCAGCAATCGTGCCAGCATTGAGAAATGGAATTTGCCTAACGACATAAATTTGGCAGATAAACAGTTCTACGAGCCAGCAACGATCGATTGTCTTATTGGAGCAGCGTTATTTTATGATTTGCTTCTCGTCGTTTCTGCAGAAAGCTAAACTCGGTTGGATAGTTTCTGGCATCGCTAACTCATCTGCACCAATAGCTTCATCACCAAAAACCTCATCGTTGAATAAATCATCGGCCTATAAGGCATTTATCACCATGTCCGAAGAACCAGTTCTCGATCAGCTGTTGCAAACCTTTTGGGCATTGGAAGAACACCACACCAATTCATCAACGTCAGTTTCGCCAGAGGAGCAAGCATTTGAAGATTTCTTCGAAACAACCACAACCAGATGTCCAAAAACCAACCAATTCATCGTTCGCTTACCGTTTAAAGAAGACCCCAGCAGCTTTCAAAAGGTTGGTATCTCTTGAGTATAAATTTTCTCGCAATCCCGCACTCGTCAACACATATCGTGAATTCATCAACGAATATATTAACATGGGGCATATGACACTGCTTAATAACCCCGAAGAGGCTCGTAATTTCATCCCCCACCACTGCGTCACAAAGGCGGACAGCAGCACCACAAAACTCCGTGTGGTCTTCGATGCGTCGTGCCGAACTTCGAATGGGAAGTCCTTGAACGACATATTGCTCGTCGGTCCGATGCTACAGGACGATATTTTCACAATCCTGCTTCGCTTTAGAGCGTACAAATACGTGTTAATGGCTGACATCGCTAAAATGTACCGCCAGTTCAAATGAACACAGCTGACTCTTCTTGGCAGTGCATTTTGTGGCGAGAATCACCAAACGCTTCTGTGCAAGTGTACAAGCTGCAGACCGTCACATATGGTACAAGCAGCGCACCATATCTCGCCACAAAGGCTCTACAACAGTTGGCAAAGGATCGCTACCAATTGGTTCAGTTGTTACGCTCAGAGATTTTTACGTCGATAATCTCATGACAGGTGGCGCCACCACTGATGAAGTCGTCCAAATTAAACAGCAAGTTGTTGAGTTGCTTAAACATGGGAGCTTTCCCCTACGAAAATTCGCCACTAATGACAATTCCATCATCTCTGACATTCCCCAAGCTGACCGTGAAGAAATCGTACAACTCGGTGACGTAGACTACATTAAAACACTTGGGTTGAAATGGTCACCATCGAGCGATAACTTCGTGTTTAGCTACACCGAATCATCGTCGTCTTCGAAAACAACAAAAAGAGCGATTTTATCCCAAATTGCAAGCTTCTTCGATCCACTTGGATTATTGAACCCTATAATAAAGAATGTACACGAAAAAAACTGGTCGCACATAACCAAGCATAGCTCGGTTAATCATAGCATTAAAATAAATATCGGTAGACACTTAAAAAGCTGGAAGCATTTTCCACCTTACTGCATCATTTCTTTTTAGTAACAAAAATCAGTGTAGAAACGAGGACCAAGAAAGAAATCGATCGCGAGTTAATATTGCGCAAAAAGCTGGAAAATCCCAGCATGTTCCATAACGACATCGCGAAAAAGCTAAAATTTCCAAAGTCTACCGTTACTTATGTGCTTAAAAAATACAATGAATGTTTATCTTTAAAAAGGAACACTGGTAGTGGCAGAAAAAAAGGATTTGCTTGCGAAATTAAGGCAAAGGAAGTGTTATCTGCTTTTAAGAAAAATCCTGGACTTTCGGTAAGAGATGTCGGCAAAAAATTAAACATGTCGTCTTCGTATATACAAAAGGTATGCAAAACAGCAGGACTACGTTCTTACAAAGTGAATGCAGCACCTAATCGCAATGGTAAGCAAAATTTGTTTTCGAAACAACGTGCTCGGAAATTGTACGACAGTCTCATACAAAAATTTGGCTGTATTGTTATGGATGACGAATCGTACGTAAAAGCCGATTTTAAACAAATCCGGGGCCGCGAATTTCACACTGCAAATAAAAGAGGCAATGTTGCAGATAAATATAAAAACAAAAAGTTTGACAAATTTCCCAAAAAGTTTCTCATTTGGCAGGCAATTTGCCAATGCGGCTTCAAAAGTGATCCTTTTGTAAGCACTGATACAATTAACCAAGAAATTTATGTTAAAGAGTGTCTGCAAAAGCGACTTTTACCTCCATACGGCTTCATAAAGATCCAGTGCTTTTTTGGCCTGATCTCGCGATATGTCATTACGGAAAAATGGCTTTAGGATGGTAACATAGAAACAAAGTGCATTTTGTAGCAGAGGTGAATCCACCTAATTGTCCAGAGCATCGACCGATCGAATCCTACTGGGCCGTTATGAAATCCAAACTTCTTAAGACCCACAAAGCTGTAAAAAACGCACAACAATTCAAAAATAAATGGCAGCTGGGTTCCAAGGAAATCACTGAAACTTCTGTGCAAGGGCTAATGAAGGACATAAAGTCAAAATTGCGATCGTTTGCTTATTACAAAGAGAATTAACTCTTTTTTAACGAATTTCAATAAAACTAAGTTTAGATGTAAATATATGTAAATATCGTTGAATTCCATTAATATATTTATGTTTTAGAACGTTTTAACTGTGACCAGTTTTTTTCGTGTACATTCTTTAGTTTCATGCAAAATATTAATGCAGCATCTATGGGCACTGAAACTAGATTGGGATGAAAGTGTCCCACAAGATGTTTACACCCAATGGCAAGATTTTCGTCGGCAGCTATCTCTGGTTCAAAAAATCCAAATTCCAAGGTATGTAACTTTCAACACCGCTACTGAAATTCATGCCTTTGCAGATGCCAGCACGAAGGCTTACGGAACCTGCATCTACATGGTCACACGCGATTCTAATGGTACGACGTCATCGTTGCTGTCCGCTAAGTCTCGTGTAGCTCCAAAGAAGGAAGTTAGCTTACCTCGACTTGAATTGTGCGCTACATTGCTGCTGGCGGAACTGCTCAAATCAATTATTGACATATTTTCACCAAATCCTAAAGCCATTCATTGCTGGTCGGACTCGACCATTGCGCTATCCTGGATCAAGGGAGAGCCGTCGCGTTGGACAGTATTCGTTGCGAACAGAGTAACCAGAATTCAACAATTAACATCACAATTCAAGTGGCACCATGTAACATCAGCCGACAATCCTGCTGACGTCGTTTCCAGAGGAGCATCGGCTCATGACATAATCGCCAATTCTTTATGGTTTCATGGGCCAAAATTTTTACTGTTGCCTCAAGAGCATTGGCCACGTTCATCGTTTGATATACCTTCTGACATACCTGAACAGCGATGTCAACGATTCGCATTGGTTGCAAAGGAACAAAATGATATGATCGCCTCTCACAAACACATAACCAACTTCCAAAAATTTCTTCGGATATTTACGTACGTGAGGTGGATCATTCAACGCAAGCGGGGATTGATGATTACATCCGGCGAAATAGAGGCAACGTTAGAAATGGTCTGCAAAAATATTCAGCTATTGTATTTTCGTGACGAGTACCAAAGGATGTTAAAAAATTCACCACTTCATCGATCGTCAAGGCTTTTACAGCTCGCACCATTTTTGCACAATCAACTTATTATAGTCGGCGGCAGAATAAAAAATTCTACGTTAGCTTTCAACGCCAAACACCCCATCGTGCTGCCCCATGCTCACCCTTTCATTCACACTCTCATCACTTACTATCATTGGCAACATCTTCATGCAGGCGCTCAAACATTGCAAAATATTATTCGTGACAAATTTTGGATACTCAACGCAAGAAAGGTCATCAGGCAAGTAATACACCACTGCCTAATTTGTTATCGCCTTCGCCCTGTTGTCACTAAGCAAATAATGGGGGCACTACCTTCGCAACGCGTCAGTCCATCACACCCATTTGAGACTACAGACATTGACTATTGTGGCCCCTTGTTAATGACTCAGAAAATCAGAGGCAGTGCTGCAATAAAAGTGTATATTGCAGTTTTCATCTGCTTTAGCACCAAGGCTATTCACTTAGAGGTTGTGCCTGATTTATCAACGGCAGCATTCATCGCTGCGCTTAAACGATTTGTGGCTCGGCGAGGACGATGTCGGCTTATCTACTCCGATAATGCAACTAATTTTATCGGGGCAAACCGTGAGTTACGACATCTGCTTGAAGCATTCATTACACAGCAGTACATCAACTCGGTAGAAAACTTTTGCCGTGAAGAAGGAATCCTGTGGAAGTTTATCCCACCCCGATCACCACATTTTGGTGGTCTGTGGGAGAGCGCGGTGAAAAATGGAAAACATTATCTACGCCGGTCAATTGGAAACCACATACTCTCATATGATGAACTTCATACAGTAGTATGTCAAGCGGAAGCAATGGTAAATAGTCGCCCGTTGATACCGATATCGTCGGATCCTAACGATCTCCAACCACTCACCCCTGCACACTTTTTGATAGGGCGTACCCTCACCGCTATCCCCGAGCCACCACCAGAATCTGCTCAACTCAGCCTCCTAAAGCGATATAAAAT